CATCATCACCATCATCATCACCATCATCATGATTATCATTATTCATTCAGCAGTCAAGAGCAGAGGTTATGGTGTAGAATAAGCCACCAATAATGGCGACATTCATTTGTGTTGGCAGATTTTTTCTATGTGTAGTTTAACAGATAGCCAGTGAGTTTGGCTGTTGCAAACAGCATTGTACATGTCACCTTGAATTATAATAAAGGAATCGCAAAACGCAAAACAGAACCTTTCCACTCCTTCAGTCCTCCCGTTTTTCCTAATACGAAATGCTCAATTTTATAGCCATATATCTTAACATCTCACCTTATTATATAAGAAGACACCAAATATGGCCGTTAACATCCCTAGTACATTAATATACGTTACAGGATTTTGTAACATTAATAATGAGAAAGTTATGACAAGAATTCGCTTGGTTGCTGCGGCAACGGAATAACTGAGGGGTGTGATGAGAGAGAGGACTGTGAATGCTACCATATTTTGTAGAAAGTTGAGGAAACCAGTTATCGTAAGCATTATGACCAGCCATAAAATATTTTCTTCGCTCTGAAAATATATGAAAGATAAATAAAGAAAAGCATGACATTAATGAAATCTGGTCTTAAAATTTTAAAAAAAGTATAATGTTTTCTCATAGTTTTAAATATTGGAAGTAAGATTCTTTGTCAACCTCCATTCGTAGTGCAGTTTTCGTATGACTGTGAAAAGCTCAGTGCCGTAAGTGTGACCGTGATGCTTTCTAGAATCTTAATTGGCCTGTATTTCTTTCACACGCAATGTGATTGGTCTGGCATTGCTGTGACGTTGGTGTGACCGTGTCCACGCCGTGTTTATGCCATGTTCCGGGTATTTGATTGGATGGAGAGTAAATTCTCRTGCAATGTGGTTGGTCTGGCGTAATCCCTTGCCGTGTCATGGCCGTGTTCGTGCCGTGAATTTTTCACAGTCATACAAATACTGCACTATTAGAATACCTCACCAAGCTTTACTCGTATTGGTAGAAAAACCTAGCATACTCAAGGGAATGACATGTAGTTAAAGACAGGAAAACTCACCAAATCAGAATATGTTAAGATTCTTCTTAAATCATAAAGTGCCCAGAATGGTAATAAGATGACTGTTGAAATCCTGGCCAAGATGTACAGAAGTCGTAGATGGTTGATGTGGAGGTCTTTCAAAGCCTGAAAGTAAAAATGTACCAGCTTAGAAAAATAGAGGAAAGAAAGAAGAAAGGGAAAAAGAAGGAATGAGAAAGAATAGAAAAGAAGGAATGAAAAAACAAACGAACAATAAAACATTACAATTTTCAAGATTTAAAACACTCACCATTTTTGTAAATATATTTTGTACTGAAAATGTCAGAGTAGCTAAAAGAGCACTCAGAAGCCCAACTAAATCAAATGATAACTCAGTTACCGTGGAAACCAATACACCAAAAACAATAGGTATAAGGGAGCAGTAAACCTATGGCATAAGAAATAACTTAGTGTTAATGATTCATAAAAGTACAAAAAATGTTCCAATTGTCACTAAAATCTAGGCTCCAGTCAAACRTTGAATTTCACATGAGCCAAACCTAATTGAAACAATGGGTAACAATACAGTCTTGACGTTTGATCTTAGTCTTAGAAACTCGAGTTACTCACCATCTTTGTTTGTTTGTTGCCTAAGATTAATCTTGATAAAACCACAGTAAAAATGGGCATAGTCGCCTGAAATATAATCAATAAAGAAAATATAACACTACATTAATGAGTAAGACTGGATTATCAGTACTGAAATTACCATAACACAAAAGGTTGTTTATGTCCTGAGGTCAGCAAGTATATATACAATGTACCAGGGGATAAGGGGTTGGGTTTGGAATTGTATGGGAGAATGCGTGAAGTAGACATTCTTCATGATGCAATGTTTTTCTCTTACAGATCATGTGTCATTATTACGGCTAGAGTATCTTTTTTTTTGCTTGAGGTRTATGCATATTCACGCTCGCCTCTCCCCAATGTCACCCAGGTTTGATTCCCAGGCTCAGCGTCTTATATAAGTCTTATATAACTATATAAGTATAGTTTCTTGTTGCTTCTCTTCTGTGGTTAGAGGGTTTTTCTCTGGGCTCTCCGGCTTTCCTCCCTCTGCTGAAATCAACTTTTAAATTCCAATTGGAATTGAGTGGATAAAGAGCCACTCCGTGGAAAATATACCACTGTTAAATCCTATTTATTTTATTATTTTATTATTACTTTTTAATACTTTCCTTACATTCTCACCTTTACTATTGAACAGAATTACAGAAGACCACAGGTTGTTCACATAGTTGGGAAATAAAAAGAAAAATTTAATGAGCAAGTTATTAAAACCCTGAGAAAAATAGCACTGCAAGTTGTTCTTATTAGATACACTGCGTAATTGTAAGAGTATACAGGATACAACTATGTTAAAATATATAATGCTGTGAAGATGATGATGGCATGTATAATGTTGACATGATAATAGTAACAATAGAATCCTAGGGAAGATGATTTCATTAAATCAAGAATAACTGTTGCTAAGCAGCAACATCCATGGAATGTTCAATCAACAGCTGTGTAAAAACAAACATACCACGTCTAAGATTTTGTATGCTATCTTACCATCACAAAACTACCTCAATCCATCCCCCCTCAAAAAGGGGGGAGGGAGGGAGGGAGAAAAATTGGGACAAAATTCAGATTTTTCATTTTTAAAAGATTTTAAGATCGGGACTTAAACTTTTGACTTGGAATGTATATTTTGTTTGGACTTGAATCTTGGAATGAATTTTGATTTCCCAATATTCATAACATTATAATACTTTTAAATGATTAATACTAGTAAAAGTTAACACACGTAGCGTGAAGTAGTTCAGAATCACTAAATGTAACACACTTTTTACACCCAATAAACCTCGGAATTATTTAACTTAGGCATTACGTTACCATGAATCCTTTACTAGCAAAAATAACGTTATGAATCAAGACACAATGAATGGAAATACCTTCCTAATTACGTTATTAAAGACAAGAACTAAAACTTACTTGTATGAGCGTACGAAACTGGTATCCTCCATATACTAAAATACGCCGACACAGCAGCCAAAGCCTTCCCGAACGATAAAGGAATAATCAGCTTTAAAAAAGCAGCTTTTGGAATAGGCATATTCTTGGGGATCTTCCACACAACGAGCGTAGGACCCATAAACAGAGCTGTGGACAGAACTTGGACGAAGGCCACGGTAGTCGGATGTGGAAATTCATTGAGTAATTTCTTGCCAACCACGCTGTTTGTCGAGCTTATAGTGTACCAGATAACACATAGGAAGAACACTCTTGGTGCTTCTGCAGGTATTTTGATGACCATTTTTATAATGATAGTACTGTTTACCGGTTGAATCGAACGAAGCTTCGAAAAATGGACACCGACACGTCATTCCATTATTTACGACTTCCGGTTACGAAATATTTCTCCACCACAGGTAGCCCATAGTTCTGTTTCATTAACTCCCAAAAATTGATTTAAAATTCGATAAATTACGATAAATTACAACATTTTAATATCCTTAAGGACTGATTAGCAATAAGGAAAAATGGAATTTTTCCCCATATTTTTTTGTTGTATTTTTTAAATCCTTTTTGTTAGTATATTGGGTTACCTGTGGGTTAATGTAAAGACCGCTATAAATTTATCGTGGGCGCATTAGAGCAAGAAATGTTTTTAATTTGAGCGCGCGAAGCTTTGGGAATTTTTTTGTTGAGATTCTTCATGGATTCTACTAACAATTCATCCGACGACGACGAAGAATGTCCTGAACTAGTGGTTTCTACAAATGTACGCATTCCAGTTACAATAATAACGGGATATCTTGGTAAATACATAGCGAAACCTAAATTTTCAACTCAGGCCTGAAAAAAATGACATTGTTTGTGAAGGTTTTATCGCATTTTCTTCTAAAGGAGCTGGAAAAACGACTCTTCTCAACTACATTTTAACAGAACAACATGATAAGAAGATAGCAGTTATTTTGAATGAGTTTGGGGAAGGTAAGTACTTGGTTGTTTGGGCTTCCTGTGGTTTTCAATATTTTGATAATATTCTAATAATTGGTTATAGGTAGTGCAATTGAGAAGTCAATGGCTATTGGTCAAGAAGGGGAGTTGTATGAAGAATGGCTTGAACTTAGAAATGGATGCTTATGTTGTTCCGTAAAGTATGTATRATATAATTATACATGCATGTATACAAGTTATCTATTTCTCCCATTGTTGATGGAATGATAATGTCCCCAGTTTAATTGGGTGTAGAAGATTGGCTTTACCTACTCTCTCCTCCTGTCCCTTCTCAATGCCTTTGCTTCTCCCCTCCTTTCCTCTGGTCTTTTCTCTTTTATCCTCTCCTCTTCCCTCTCCTTGCCTCATCTTATCTTGTCTCATCTACTGGCTCTGTATAGAAGATCAGCTTCACCTCTTCTATCCTCCTGTCCCTTCTRTTGTCCCTTGCTTCTTCCCTCCTTTCCTGTTGTCTTTTCTCTTGTCTCTCCTCTCTTGTCTCCCCTTGCCTTGTTTCATCTTCTCTCATTTCCTAGCTTTTATCTCACCTTCTCTTTCCTTCCTTCCCATCTCCTCTCTCTACGACTTTAGACACACTTTGGTACACTTAATATAAGAAATGTCCGCCACAAATGTGTTTACATGTACCAAGATTATTTACATCTGTTGTATTCTAGGGATAATGGAATTAAAGCAATAGAAAACCTGATGTTAAAAAGAGGGAAATTTGACTACATCCTATTGGAGACAACAGGTCTAGCTGATCCTGGTCCAATTGCTTCTATGTTCTGGCTCGATGATGAACTTGGTAGTGATCTTCATCTGGACGGTACTTCGCAATACCATATATCCTTGATAGTAATCATAATCTAGGGATGAAAATTAATGCTGCTCAATAGCTGATATGATAACCACCTACTAATCAGCTTGATCAACATGTGACCGGTCAATATTACCAGTCAGTGGCCAGTCAATGTGACCAGTCAAAAGAACCAGCCTAAGAGGCATTTGCCCAGACAAGTACCAATTTCATCCAGACATTGATGACTCATTGTATTTAGCTGTCTGGGCTCCCTGTGTTCCACATTCCCATCAAACCCCTAATAAAGAAAGTTATTAAAATAATAGGTTTTTTCATATCATTGTTTTTTCTAGGAATTATAACAGTTGTAGATGCAAAGTATTGTTTGCAGGTGAGTTACTATTGGGATACCTGTGGTGGACTAGGCAAAGGGTTCCCAAATGATGGATTTGGTAATCAACATCTAATAATATTAGCTGTTCAGAGGTTGAGGAAAAAACTGCCCCCTTAACATTACCAAAATGCACTGTAATGCAAATTCAACCCATTTTTTACCTCAACCTCGGAACAGCTCAAAGCAAATAAGATCAGTAGAAGGAGAAGAGGATATGGATTGATATGAGTATTATCTCTTTAAGCATCTGAATGAAGTGAAAGAAAGCAGTGAAATCAATGAAGCAGTTAGGTAACTTATATTTTATTCTTATCATCTTCAAATTCTTTGATTGCACGTTATGTCATTGCAGCCTCTCAGGGGAGCGTTGGTGCTATTTAACAAAATATTTCTCATTAGCATCCTTTATTAACGGCACCACAATGGCCGCCATGTTTTCGTCTTTTGACTCTCTTGGGAATGCTTGCAACCCATCAATAGAGCTTTTATTCTGATTTACATGTTTTATAAATATGATAATAAACCTTTATTTATCCAGGGTAATCCCTTCAGTTGCTCCAGAGACCCTGTTATCAATGGGAGCCCTTTTTTTACTTATTACAATTGTTATCTTGACAGGCAAGTAGCTTTAGCTGATGTTATCATCATTAACAAATTGGACCTGGTCAGTGAAGGAGAAATTGAATCATTGAAGGAGAGACTAAGGTGATTAGTTTATAATACACTGTAACAAAAATATACCTCCATCATTTTCTTTCTCTCATTGACTCCGACGAAGGACTAACATCCGAAACTTCAGTCTACTAGCTTTCATACCTAAGGTGATAAAATTATCTACTACGACACAATCTGTAACAAAAATAGCAGAGTACCCTCTAGTCTGCAAACAGTTTCTCTATTTTTCTTGGGCCTTTTCTACATCTATGAGTTAAGTTGGCTGCACTGGTACTAGTGCCAAGGTACAAAATGCTCCCTAGCCACCTCCCCTGGGTATATTGTACCTTTTATTAAGGGAAGCATTGGTGGCATGCACTGCTAATGCACCTCCTCTCAATGAGAATGCCTCCCAGGTTTGAGCCCTTGTGGGCTCGGTGTGAGTTGAATTAGACTGTTAGTGGTCCTACAACTTTTCCCTCCAGACTTGGTAAAAATGAGTGTTTTGGGATTCCTGTGGAAGCACGTGAAGATTGGAGCAGRATATGATGTAGATATTTTTTAATTGATTATTCAGATCTATTAATGCTGTTGCAAAATATGTTGAGACTACGAGGTCAAGGTGAGGGTGATACAATTTTTCTTTTCATTAAAATGTGTAATTTATTTTCTTTCCCTCTTGTTCACCCATCCATATCACCACTCATTCAACCTTACTTTATTCATCTTGTCTTTCCATCCATCTATCCATCCATCCATCCATCCATCCATCCATCCATCCATCCATCCATCCATCCATCTATCCATCCATCCATATCCATCCTTCTATCCATCCATCCATCCATCCATCCATCCATCCATCCATCCATCCATTTTACTATCTGTCCATCTGTCCATGGATTGGTCATCCTGTCCTTCCATCCATCTGTCCATCTGTCCCATCCCTCTGCCCATCCTTCCTCCCATCCTTCCATCCATCCATTCATCCATTTATCAATCTTTTCATTCATTCACACATCAGTATCCTTCTCTCTCCTTTCATGCATATTCTATTCATTTTTACTACTTAGTCTGATACATTTCTAATCTTCTTTTCAGAGTTAATCTAGATGAAGTCCTTGATCTTCATTCATTTGACAGTGCAGACAGGAAACGGTGAGTTTAGTTGAGAGTCCTTTCTCCCCCATCATCCTTCAGCCATCTTTAAATTGTGGTTTGCCATATGTGTTCTTCTAACTGTTGTTTTTCCTTTTTAGTGATTGGTGTCCCCTTGGCAGTCATTTAGCTTCAAATGCCGGCAAAACTCCTTTGAGTAAATCCAGTCATATTGATCAAGTATGTATATTCTATTCATTTTGTAATTCATTGAGGGTTTTTAAGCCATTAGAAACATTTTCACTTTTGATCTTAGTCAGTCACAACAATCACTCTTGAAATGCATGGAGAAGTAACAGTAGATTTACTTGACACATGGTTACAGGTTAGTAGGCGTGGTTATGGGGTGTCAGATTGTCTGTGGTCAGTCTATCATTTCCTTCTCTCTTTCTCTCTCATTTCTTTTCCTCCTCCCTTTTTCTCCCTGCTACCCTCCCTCCCATTTTTCCTACATCCCTTCCTTCTTATCTTCCATCTCCCCTCCCACCCTTACTCCCTTTTTCTCATCCTCCATCCCATTCTTTCTCCTTTATTTTCTTCATTCATTCATTCCATTCTTCAATTCTTTTTTCCTATTTTCTCCATCACATCCTTCCTTTCTCCCATTCTCCCTGCCTCCCTTCCTCTTTCCCTCCCTCTCTCCCTCCCTTTCCTCCTCCTTTTCTGTTTTCTTCATTCATTCATTCTATCTACCCTTTTTTCCTTGGCTTTCTTTTGTGTCATTCTATCCTTTCCATCAACCAATCACTCTTCAAGCAGGCTGGCTGTTTAGTGTTTTCATCCCTTCATGTTCCTTTTTTATCTTTAAAGGATTTACTATGGGAAAAAAGCATTAAAAGTAAGACTGGAACAGCGATGGAAATTCTTCGATTCAAGGTAAGGTTTTAGCCTCATTGGTCTCCCTGTGGTAGTCGAAAAGGGACTGGAAATGACCTTGAACGAACAGTCCCTTTCTTTTATACCGTACCACAGCAAGACCACCAAAATTCTATTACGATTGTCTAATATTTAGATACGTATTTCAAGCTTTATTTCATTTTAAATCATATCACAAAGAAGCATTCTCCTTGGAACTCTGAGCCAGTACTTACGGATCTTAATACTGCAGTATCTGAAGGCGCGAACGTAAATTTCCAGAATAAGCCTGAAGTGAGATGACGTTTTACCCCCGTCTCTAGACCATAATCCTTTTCACATTGCATTTGTTCTTTAATTATGACTATTGTTCCTGTATTCTCTAAGGAATCAAAAATTTTAATATGAAAGAATCTTAAAAACTATTATGGTATAGAGTCGGGGGTAAAACGTCATCTCGCTTCAGGCTTATTCCCGCCATTTTCTTATTCAGTTGTGCCAGCGTTTATGTATTCGTTTAGTTATTTGCTTTCCTCGGGAAAAAAGAATTCACAACAATTCTTTTGTATCGAAATGTGACCTATATTTTCATTTTTCCCTGGTCATGCGTCTCTGCTCTTCTTTTTCGTACCTGTCTCTTTGGATCTTTACTCTAGTGAGACTGAACGCGGTTTTAATATATCTTTGATATCTTCAACATACCATCATCAATGCCTTTTTATGTAGTATGTTATTTGTAATGAGCCTATCTCAACCTCAAAGTGAACGTTTTCTTGTTAGCTTGAAGTCGCTGTTATAGTAACAGTTTTTTTATCCTAAAAACTACAAAATTAGAATATGTTTATTTAATTGTATCATTGTGCAATAGTATCCACTGAGTTTGTTCAATTATGCTCTCCATAGTGACAGGGGCTCGTGGCTTTTTACGGTCATAGCGAGCATTTTGTTTCCATCTGTTATTTCGGTGAAGCCCTAAGTAAGGCGTTCAGCGTGTTTTTTATTTATTTTTTATTTTGTTAAAAAACGTACTGGCGTTATAGATTACTTATGTTTCTGTTGTTCATTTTAGTCCAGATATCGCAGGACAATGAACTCATCTCAAAAACAACCAAAAATTATTTAATCTCAAAAATATGGGACTTTTTACATGGGCTCAGAGATGATCTTTGAATTTGAGTAGAATTTATTGTACGATAAATGCATGCCACTGTAGGCTTACAAGTGCTGAAGAGTCGAGACGTAAGCGGGTGTTTGTAATGATCAGGAAATGCGTACAAGCCTTGAGAAAAAAACCCTTTGTTTGAAAATCGAAGGAAAAAAAAAAAAAAAAAGAAAGAAAGAAAGAAAAGAAAAGAAAAGAAAAAGAAAATAATGTCAAATTTCAGTAGCCCAAAACTAATAGTTGAATTTGATTGCAAAACGAAACTTTTTTAGCATTATTCTGTGAAGACAATAAATTCGGGAATTGAATTTCCCCGATGTTCACTTTTACTTCACGTTCTCTTTTATATGCACGCTTTTCCGTGGCAAGTATAGTGAAAATTATCCATGCAATCTTCTCTAAAATGGTTAATGAATATTAGTACAATATTTTTATTTATATATTCAAGGTTTTTTTCTAAAAATAGTTGTCTTGAGCAAGTGCATTATACGCTTCCTCCCAAAATAACATGGCTTAGGTTTTTATGTTATTGTTAATAGTTTTCTGTTGTTAGGAGGAAGTCATAAGTAAACCGCATAAAAACAACACAGTCCCCTTTGGCTTTTAAAGTTCAAAACTGGAAGGCCATATAGTCTTGATCCATTCTGTTGTGCCAAAGACCCGTTATATCAATTCGCTTTCAAGTCAAAATAAACTTTACCCACATTTAGGAAAACAAACTTAGAAAAAAATTTGTCTAAAACATCAATGAAAGTTATCGAGAAGTGATGTTAAAAGCTTTTCAAATGTATTTTCTTTCATTTGGTCACCATGAATAGGGAAAATGTCACCGAAAAAAGGGCCATCTTAAGTAATTATTAATTACATAAATACTGAAAATTGATAGTGGTAAAGTCTTTTCTTAAAACGCATAAAACATCACTGGTTGAAATAATGTAAAGTATTTTTGTATTTTTAGTATTTTGATATTTAGACCAATATTTTGTAGTGTACATTTTAAAAAGTGACGTTAGGAAAGGATCGACCTCATGAAATATAGATGTGTGAGTCGTTAGAATCTTAAAGTAAAGTTGAAATGCTCTGGTCGTGATGGAAGTCTGTTGTTAACAGATGTAAGGGCACATCCCCCCTAACAGGTAACTATCTACCTGTTGTTAGCAGTTGTTACGATAATCACATTATTAGTGAAAGACACGACTTCCTAAAGATTGAATTTTTTACTCATTTGAATTTGAAATTGTTTAATCAACTGTAAAATGGAATATCCTAATATGAAATAGTTTTAATTTTTTCTTTGTTCTGAGATGACATTGTTTAGCGAAATACTTACCTTTGGATTTTTTGTTTATATTTGTCTTGATATTTTCCAACATTTTTTGTTTTTAACTTGGATAATTTTATCACTTAACAACTGAGCGAGCCATTGTTTAAATCACCTGTTGTCAAACATTATTACGTGTCCCTTTGGAAAAAAATGACAACAAAGTCATGTCGAAGCAAACTGGAATTCCTTCTCCTAGAAAAGGACTATTATTTCTACATCTATCTCATGATTTCTACGTTTATTTTGAACTGAAAAGCTGTCAAATTGAAAACGTAATAATTGTTAATAATATGTATCAAGATAATGACATCCGATCGCACGTGTTTTGGCCCAATGAAATGAGACGGAATGGAATAGAAATGCTCTGGTATGACACCTTTCTGACAATGGCTATTATTAGAGACCAACTTGTGTAAAATAAGTACCTTGACTGTCTTCTAAACACCATCAATCATCCTTGAATAGAGATTCAGCTATTCTCCAATAGTAGGGCTTCGCTGGGATAGAACAAAGACCTTATCGAAGGTATATAGCCTAGGCTACAAGTCAAGTGTTTACAGTTTAACGTTGCTACAAATACGACACACCTTGAAAGAAGGGATTTCAACTTTTTTTCCCCATCATGACCGAAAAAGAATCAAAACTGTCGACCAAGTTAGAAGACATTGCTCTTTTTAAAAATGAAGCCAAAAGGAAAAAGGAAAAACTCCCAAAAAGTCTTGGTTCTGTTCCGGCGAGGAAACGGAAAAATGGGAAGCCACCTTATTCTTATATTGCGTTGATTGCTATGAGTATTTTGGATACTCCAGATAAGCGACAAACCTTAAGTGGAATCATTGATTTTATTAAGAAAAATTTCGAATACTACGGTGGCGAATGTCCAGTTAAAGGTTGGCAGAACTCTATCCGACATAACCTTAGTCTGAACGATTGTTTTGTCAAGACTTGGAGGGATCCCACAAACCCGAGCAAAGGCCATCTCTGGACTCTACACGCTAAGAGTATGGACATGTTCGAAGGTGGCAGCTTCATGAGAAGGAAAAAGAGGTTCAAGGAGAACGTCGAGACAGACTCTCATTTTGAGGAGGTTTACTCTACCTACCAAGATACGTGCTTCGATGAACCTAGAGAAGATCTAGAAAAAAATCTATCAAGATCTGATGTGACGATTTCGTCTTTCAGGTCAGCGGACGTAGATGACCATTCGTCCCGTGTTATGTCTCCAGACTCGTTAGCATCTCCCACTGATCCTCATCCTCGCTCACGCTCGTGCAGTTCAACGTCATCCAGGGATAAAATCCCCGAACAAGTTTTTATTTACCCTCCATCACCGTACAACTTACTAACAGCGGCATCTCCGAGGCTGTTTCCACACTACTCCTCCCTGGCAGTAAGGAGAACGGCATACTACAGAGATTTAGTACCATATGGGCACGGCTTCGAGGCCTCATCCTTCCCGCTTACTGCACAAACGGGTTGCATTCGATGCTTAGGCTGTACTTGTGCTTACAACTAGTTTATGGACGGTAATTGATATATAAAAGTCAAACGATTGATTATCGAAACCATGACAGTTTGAATTGGTTGTTTTGCTTTGTTTAAAAAAGAAACACTAACAATCTTCAAGGAAAGAAGTGAAAATTGAATTGCCAACTAGTTAAAGTTCCCCAAAAAAAAATTGCATTAAGTTGTTACTTCAAGAACGCCTTGAACGCTTTGTAATTTTTTTCTTATGTTTCTAGGGAATTTTTTTAAAAAAACAGATAAAATTCTGTTGAAAAACTTGTAGAGTGTGTCAGTTTTATGAAATATGGYTTTGAACTCATGTAAGTTTATTTATCTTTCTGTAAATACGTGCACCATTTGTATACTTGTTCAGAATAAAGTTAAAATAAAAGACGGTTTACCATGGTGATGTATTGTTGTGAATAAGTTTTAGATCATTAGATAACAAGGAACCTTTGTTCACTTTCCTTTTTAATTTATCCTTTCAATTCATATTTTTAAAAATCCATTAAAAAGAGAACGCGCTCAAAAATTTGATATGATGTAGAAGGTGAAATGCATAGGAATTAACTCAAAAAAAAATCTTCTATGAACTTTTTTACAAAAAGAAATTTTCACTCATTCTAGAGACTCACTTTGCGTTTTTACTCGTTAAAAAGGGAGCAAGCAAAATTGAGTTCAGTTTTCAGAATTATTCAAATAAATAGTTCACAAATTCTTTCAGCTTTCTTTCAGTTGGAAACTGAGGATGTGTTTTACATTCTTTATGCATTTGTTTTCAAATTCTTATGATCGATTGAGTTTCATCAAAACCCTTCCAAAATACTTGTATCAAGCTGTTTAACATCTGTAATTGTTGCTAGACAAATTCAGCCCTGAGGGTTTGTTTTACTAACGGATCAGGTTTCGAAATGATGACTATCAACTCAAAATAAGATTAAAAATAGAATCAATATAAAAAATTCTTTAGGAAATCTAGCTTAAAACTGGACTAAAACCTCAAGACCGGTTTACAAAATGTTGCATCAAAACTTAGATGAAGTAAACTTTAATTCATTTAAAAACCGGAAAAAAACTTTCTTCATGTAGCAATTTTGTACCGAGTTATTCCAAAGAAATTTGGTTCATTCTGGACACAATACTCGATCTTAGTACTCATCAACATATATGTAGGTCAAATAAGAATCTCCAAATAAGAACCCCCAATGCACTCGATTTGACTGATTTAACAGGAATATATATCAAGACTTTTTGTTTAACCTTAACCTTAGTGTGTTCTTGACATAGATCTGTAGGTGTGGCAAAAATTAGGAATCTCTTGAGCTAGCTTCTCCATGTTCATCTAAAATCCGTTTTTCGCCATTTTTGGGAGCTTAAGTTAAAAAAAAACTAAATATCACGACACTGGAGTTTTGTACATTTAAATTTTTTAAATTACAAATCATTGTTTCCTTAGAATTATAATTATATTGAGTGATTTTTCTTCAGTTCTGTGTCTAGAAAGAATGAATATTGAACTGACATGTGGATGAAAGATTTTCAACAAACGTTTTTTTTTTACCAGCAAGAAACTAAGAGCCAAATTAACAGGATTAAAAGACTAATCATCACTAGAAAACAATACGAAAAAACAGAAAACAGCTTCTAATTTTTATTATAAGTAATAAGAATAACTGTCTCTTTGGCCTGTGGAAAAACTGCCTAAACTAGAGGACGTAAAAACACAGCTTTCTCGGTGTATTTCTTAATATTGGTTAAATATTTGGTAAGTAAAATTTATAAATTTGTTAAGTAAATTTCATTTCGTCTTTCGTGTAATATTCGATTCATTCTTCATTTAAGAAAACCCAGGTAACCCATTTATAAAAGGTTGAAACAATTGAAGTAATAATAATAATAATAAACTTTATTACTGTGTCATGTCGTTCTAGCTTATTTAAATAAACTAATTGGGGACACCTATCTAGAACCCTATAAAACCAATAAAAATCTTATCCCATGTTTCCAACCCTTAAAACAACCCCTATATGATATTTACAATTATCTAATT